TGACATTTGAAAATAAGGTCCTTTAAAAAAAGGAGAGGTGGGGAAGAGTAAGAAAAAGAAAACCTGCTGCTCTGTTGAGAGAAATTTTCCTTTGTGTCTAATGCATTTTCCCAGAACAAAGCAGGCTTGCTCTGCAGTCACCAGAGCTGTGCTCATGGTTCTGAAAGATAGTTCTCTGCATTTGGCATTAATCCTCTCCTCTCACTCTTTTGCTTGGCAATGTTGTAATTTTTCTAAGTCTTTAAAACTTGAGCCAGCAATCTCTCTCCCCACCCCACCCCAGTTTTGTCTCTGTGCATCAAATTATCATTTTTCAAAAGGCACTGTGAAGCAAGAAAACATTTGCTTTAGAATGCCATTATATGTGGCATTACCAAGATAGAGTTTAGTGTAAGCTAAAGATTTAAAGGAAAAATTATCCCTAGGATTCATTCTGGGAAATGAGGATACATAGTTTAGGGATTTATATTTTTTTAAAGAAATCTAAGTCTATGCTTCCGCCTGTGAAAGAAGTATGAAGTAAATGTCTCTGTTTTTAGCCAAAACCTTTTTTGGTGCAAATTGCACATATGGTGTCAAAGAAATACCAACTGAATAAGTGCTGCTTTTATCGAGTTACAGGGCAAAATGTAGGGGAAGAGAAGGAGGTGCAGAAGGAGGGTTTTTAGGCCATGCAAGCAACAGAGCCAAGAGAGGTGCAAATTGTGTCAATTGAATTTATTTTCCACAAGCATAAGCATAAGCATATCTTGCTTTCAGTGTTGCAGGAATCTTCCATTTTTCTATGCAGTCATTTCTGTTGCTGTTTATTGTGCACAAATCTAGTGGTGTTCCACAAGGGAGTAAGAAGATAAGTTAATCTCACACAGCGCAATCTCAACCTCAGTATGTGCCTCCCAAGCTGAGCACTTTAGCTTTGCCTAAATAAGCATAATTAGAATAAAAAACCTCATAACCATAAAATTAACCATAATAAACAACTTGGTGTGTGTGACTAGATGGGTCCACGTTGCATTCTGTTGGCGTCTGCAGCTTGCACCCAGAATGCGTTTTCACTAAGATGGTTTTGTCAGCAGACACCCATGGGAGCAGATATTTGTGCCAATACTCGTGCTTTCTTCTCCCTCAGAGTTAGAGAATGAGCATTTCTTTACACAGTGTGGAAGTATGCAGGTAGGAAGGAGCTAATAAGAATACAGTTATCTGTAAAGCTAAAGAAATAACACCACCCATGTTTTCAGTATTCATTCAGTGTGCATTGCAAGATTTCTCACCAGCGCTGGAAAACTTTATCCTCTAAAAGAAGTGAGTGTTATTTTTTGCACTCAGAAGCAAGAACAACTGAAAAACCTGCAGTACCAGTGTTTGTATCCCCATGGCTCAGCTTGCGTCACTGACACACAGAGAGGCATATTTCAGCCAGAAAGACAAAAGCACATGCAGAGAAGCAATCCTTTCCTGATGACATTGGCTACCTGGAAGCTGGCCGGCGTGCAAGGTGAGCGGGAGGTCATGTTGGCTCCCTTCAGGCTGGCTGGGGATGGCTTGGCAGGGATTCACTGGCTGCAGCTCTGCTGCCACTTCTGGCCTGAGTGACAATTTGGCAGGGCGCTCAGGTGCAAGAAGCAGAGCAGCAATCTGTTCCCTTCCCCAGCCCTCCTGCTCACAGCAACCTTATTTCTTCTCTCTTCAGGCTGCTGCTCCCTCCCTTTATTTGTGTGTGCAAGTGCATGCACGCCTTTCCCTGTGGTAGTGGCATTTGAAAGACACCAGCATTTGCTCCATCTGGCTCCTGTATCTGTACTCCTTCTGATGGCAGTGCGGATCCAGGATAGATTTCAACAAAAGAATAATGGTCACCACGTTTTCCTTCTGCTTCATACTCTGATATGTGCATGGCACCAGGGTCACCCTTTCAGCTCCTTGCCTTGAAATGTGCTTGTAAGGATGTGGCAGCCCACCGAAAACTGATAAGAAGCCTTATCAAAATGTTTCCTGGTTAGGCTCCCTGCACCCTTCCACTGCTAGCATCCTCCCAGTCCCTGACAGGGTGTCGAACGAAAAGCTACGTGGGTGCTCACTGCTGTCAGAAAATGCCAGTTTGCCAAAACTGTAAGGTTTTGCAGAAGTGCAGTTCAGTCCTTCATGTGCAAGGTGTTTTAAGATGCAGAGGGCAGTGAAAGGAGCCTGATGAGGGGGCAGACAGAGAGATTAAAGGGTGACAGACAACAGGGGCTGGTATCCGGAGATCACATTCCTTCACCTTGCAGTAGCCAGCATGTGATTTTTTTCAGGCGTGGGAGTATTTCCTTCAAATCCTTTGTCTGTCAGATTTTCAGCAAAATCTAGGCGTATGTGCATTTTGACTGGGGGGGTAGGGAGGGAGAAATGGGAAACAATTTTGTTCACAAATGTTTTTGAAAGGTGCCTATTTTTCACTTCATCACAGTAAAAAAACTGTGAAGACTTTCTGTATTCCACAATTTATTTCACATCTTAGCCCTGTGAACTATCTTATACCCTAATAGTAAATATGACCATTTACACAAACAGATATTGTGAAGAAAGATCTAGCAGAGAGCAGCTAAAACCCGTGATGAATAATCAGGAAAAAAACATCATCAGTCACACACTTGGAACTGCACATTTTTGACATGCAGGTTTTTGCCATTGATATAAATGTAAGAAATAACTGGTTGGTGCCCTATTCTTTGATGAGATATTATGCTGAGATTATGTTTTCCAATATAATTTTTATCATGGAAGAATATTTGAATTGGTAGGTGGGGGAGAGAAAATAATTTTGATTTCTTAGCCTTGAAACTATTGCATTCCCACTACTGCTTGATTTCACTCTGATCCAAGCCCTTTGTGTCACACCATTTTCAGAATTAAATTATTCAGGAATGTGTCTGAATTGGACTGTAAAACTGCATTATGTTACTCGTTATGTAATTAATAATTGAAATTTCAGTATTATTAATATTTTCTGACTTGCATTGCAAAGTTAAAATATAATTAACACATTTCCAGTCAGTCCCGTCTTCTTATTTTGTGCGAGTCATCAGAAGCATAGTGACAGATCCATTCTAATAACATATCCAGGGAAAAAATAGGCTTATACCATTCCAAAAGGACAGACTCTGTAGGTATTAAATGTCTAACATAATTGGTGAGTGCCATTTTATAGGTTGCATTATGCAGGAGAAATGTGCATTTGAATGGAATTTGCAATCAGGCAGAGGAGACAAATACTGGGAAAAAAATCCATATAACAGAGAATCCTATGTATTAGAGGTTAAAACCTTTTTAGGTCATCTGGCCCATCTGTGAGATTTAGATATTTTTCTGCTGCACCTCTGTTAATGCATTCTCTGCTACACCTTAGACGTTCCAGTGAGAGACCTGTAATATTCTCCCAGGGAATTTATTTCACAACGTTGTAGACAGCTAGGCTTTTACTAATAATTCACACTGTATCTTCTGTCTTTTCTTTCATTCAGTGTACTAAAGAAATGGGAAGGTATGCTCCTGGAGATGTAAATAATATTTGACATGGTGGTCTTGAGAAACAATTTATGATCTTATTGAAACAGTGGACCAATAACTAACATGTTCTTGCTTTGTGCTCCTCTCTCAAAATTTGGGGACAGTTTCAGTGTACTGAAGGCCTGGGAAAAAAAGCCATTAGAAACAAAGGAAAAAGAAATATCATCAATATACCATAATTTCCCAAAGAGATTTGGTAGAGTTTGGCTGTATACTGTTGACGTTGGATAAAGTTTCAGGGAATAGGACTTCAGCTCTAGGTTTTGTGTGCTCCTTTGGAGATATTGTTGGAATATATAAGGAATATATAAGTTTAACATTCCCTCAAGAACAGCCTTGTTTTTCTATGCCATAAACTGAAAAAGAAAAATTGCTAATTTCAAGTGTTCTGGGCCAAGAAAAAAAATATATTCCTCATAAAAGTGCTACAGCTAGCTTCAGAAATAATTGGCAGTTAATTTGTTCCCTGCTTTTTTGTCTTCCCAGTGGAATTCAGGCAGCTGAGACCAGACCATGGGTAAGAAATTATCCATGTGGCTTGAAAATGGCAATGCTATTCTGATGGAGGCTGTATGAGAAACCAGCCATTGATACCCTGTCCGGGACTTGCTTTATACCAAATAAATTCCACATAGAGTAGTTATAAGTCTGCCCTGGAAATAAAATGACAGTTGACCTGAGGTGTCAGAAATATGCTTTTAAATGCCTTAGAAACTGCTTTTATTCCTGTCTCACTTCAAATACCATCTAAATGGCAAAGAAGGGCTATGGTTAGACCCAGACAGACTCACTTTAGCAGCCTGTGTGCGCATCTTCCTAGTAACTGCAGCCACCTTGTCAGACCAATATTCAGTAGAAGCCTTTACCTTATTTAATAGCTCATTAAACAAGTCCCACTTTCTTTTACCAGCTCCTTAGGTGATTTCAACAATCTCCTACATGACCTCTGCATCGGCATTCAACTACACCTGCATGAAGGGAGTAAGTAGGGACCTCCCAGCTATTTTCAGCCCAGTCTTTTAGCCTTGTTATACAGTATGCCACACACCTTGTATTTCCCCATCTAACTTCCCATAGAGCTTTGTTCAGTAAAGTGCTTGGAAAAATCATCACACGGGTACTATACCAATAAAATGCAAAATGAACTTTGACCGCTTTTAGCCTCATCAGTTCAATAAAAATCAGAACAATAGTTCACTTTTTCAGTAAAGAAATCATCTTGTCTAGCAACATGCTTCAGGTTTTGCCAGAACTGCCATTCATCATGTCTTACCCTATTTGACATACATTCTAAGGCTAAGACTTAAATGAGACACGCCTGGTTCTATAAATAAGCAAGACAAACATTGCATTTGATTACCCATTTTTTTTCACAGCTGGCCATTTTAGGAAAGAGGTTGGTAAGAAGCATGGTCAGTTCCTTCATTTAGCCTATGGATGAATGGGCAAAGGTGACTGAATGACCTGCGCTTCTCAATTTATTTCTTCTCCTCTGATGTGTGGTAGTTGGGCATATTCAGTTACTGACCAGTTGCAGGGTAAAGCTGGTCTCTTAAACTGATTGCACGCATGTGTTTCATCTGAGCTGTGGAGCAGAATGTCTTCTCTCTTGATGTGGTTCACAGCATACTCATTATTGTGGTTTATGTGTCTCAGCTGGTAGGCAAGGTCTCAACTACTTTCATTCGCATGCAGGCTCTTCCACCTTCCACAGAAAAACTCTGATCTCTCCCAGTTGCAGGTAATACTACTTCTTATATTGTGCTGTTTCTTTTGGAAGAAATATATTCATATAAAAGTACACATATATGCATGCATCATTAATATGTAAATATATACATTTAAATATGTGTATGGTGGTAAGTGAATGTGGTATGTGAAAGAAATACGTTCTGGGTCAGGGGCTGGAATACTGCATTTTCTGTGTTCACTATTCTGAGTCTCCCCTTACTAGTCTTTCACACTGCTTTTTTTTTTTTTTCCTTTGCTTTTTTTTTTTTTCTTTTTTTCTTTTCTGTGTGTGAATAAAAGCTTAGTTCTCCTTTTAATGGATATATCTAAATTTGACTCTTTTATGTGTAGAAGATATAGTGCACAGACAGTAGCAAAGCAGGGATCCTTCCCAGGCTTTTTTGATTGGGTGTGGCATTGGGGCTGTAAGGGGTTAGAATATAAGATTGGCATTATGAATAAGGAGTTCTGATTTCGTCCCCTGACTACTGAACTTCTTGCAGCTACCTAGTTGTTAAGGAGAAAGTCAGTTTCCAAACAAGTTAATTCTTTAGTTTGTTATTGCCAGCAAAACATGCTGGAGACTAAATTGATAGAGACACCTTTAAAGACCATAGGATGATGAGAAATGATGGCATGTTGGGCACCCATTTGGGATTAAGATGCATGATTGCGCAGAGCCCAAAAGCAGAGCTCCTACATCTGTTTGTGCAGGTAGGAATGCTGTCTGACAAGGGCACAGGATGACGTTTGCGTCACAGAATTGTTGAGTGCAGCTTGAACATACTTGGCAGCATCCCATGACCTTCTCTCCTACTCCGGCTTCTCCCCGATAGCAGAACTGTCTCTGGCCAAAGGTTAATTTTTTCTGATGGCTCCTAAACTTTCTAGATAGAGAATATTGGTGTAGTCTCAAAAAAAGAAACTAAAATAAATAAACTGCAAGCCCTGAATCACGGGAAGAAAGTTTCATTCCCCTCCTGTGCTCTTGTGTGGGCCATTTCAACAGGAGCCCAGAGGATTGCTCAAATCTCCTCTTAAGCTGTAAAAATGTAAAGCTGATTTCCCATTGACTAGCATATTATGCAGTCACTCACACCAGGATAAAGCATTTGGAAAGGCGTGGCATTCTGATTTGGTCCAATTTTTATTTGATTTCTGCTGGTTTTAATGAAATTATATAAGGTTTGAGACAGCGGAGAACTGGAAGGCATGTGTCTGACTATGCCCATCACTGCCTACTACCATGCACAGTAGGAACACTTTCAAAAGTCACTGAGTCTAACTTACTTCACTGTGAATCAACTTCAGGTTCACATGTGGAGGTAGAACGATTAAGGGAGGTAGGAATATTAAGAATAAACTTTGAAATTTAGAAGACCATCATTAGCTATTGTACATTGTCACTAATTGCTTAGCTAGATCAGAAATTTAAGTGAAAAGCATAATTCTGCTGTGATTTATTTTGCCAAGCTAACAGGAGGTGAGCAGAAGCAGTAAATTTTTTGAGCTTCCACAGAGCTGAAATCTCCAGAGAGCACAAGTAGGAGAATATCTGGTTCAATATGTGCATCTATATGGATTTTAAAAATATCTGGAGGAGGCAACCACAATTGAAATGAGAGCTGCAAAAGCTGGAAAGTCATCACTGGTAGGCATTTGTTTTTTTTGGTAGCTGTTGTTGCTTTTGTTTATTTTATTCATTTATTTAAATGTCAACAACAATGCTTTATTTAGTCCATTCCTTGATTATTTGCTTAGTCAAAACTACTAGCAAATTTTCAACATAGGAAGCGGAGGAGCTCTTGTCACAAAGGCTATATGTTGCTATATGTATCCTCACAATACTCGGATAGAAATAGTCCAAGATCAAATGACAGTTGTACAAAAATAGCTTCTGCCCTCCTTAAATTCCTGTGCTAGCTTCTGATACCCTTGTTGTAAAAGCTCCACTGTAAACTCTGGGACTGTTGATGTAGCAGTCTGTAAGATTTCTCTATATGAAAAGGAAAAGGACAGAAAAATACAACCTTTATTTTGGCCTTATCAGCTGTAAAACCCCCACCTTATTTTGTAGAATAATGGTTAGAATCTATTATTTAAATTCCCTCTTTTCAGATCTAATCTTGTTTCCATGGTTAAATCAACTCTTTGTAGGGATTTATGAACATAGAAATTCCACGAAACCTGGGATTCAGAGAGTCAGGGAGGAGAATTAAAATCCTGGAAAGCCTTTGAATACATAGGCAAGTCACATAGATGGAAGGGAAATAAGCGTTTTTAAAGAGGATTTCTGTCAGTGAGGGTGCCGTGTGGAATAATTTTCATCAGATGCATTGGGCAATAAGTGAAGGAATGGTCTCTTTGTTTCAGCTCCAGCTCAAATCAGCAATAGTTGCTATTCTGATCGCAGCTAAGTGTTCGGTGGGAAATGATGTGGAGGTCTCATTCTAGTCTTATGAATAGTTTTTCATTACATGAAACCAGTAATGAACTGAGCAAAAAAGGAAATGGTGGCGGTAATTGTGACGACTGAACCTCCTCTTACTCTGCATTTCAGGACTAAGAGGTACAGGCAGAGCCAGGAGGAGTGTTAGAGCTGAATGGATCAGTACTACAGCTCTTATGTGGGTGACTTGGGTATTTTAGCCAAGAGAGCTGACAATTTAGTACATCCCACAAACATCAAAATCATGGGATGATAAGTGATGATAGCAAACCCTGCTTCAGCCTGATAGCACCTCTGGTTCTGGGTATGACCAACTCTGTGCAAGTCACGATGGTGCTGCCTTGGCCCTGGAGTCACAGCTCTGCCCATGGCAAGCCAGCAAGCTGGCAGTGGGACACCAACAGTGTGGGAGTAATGGGGAGGGGCCAGGCATTTCAAACTGGCAGTAAATGCAGGGATGGGTGAAGATGATGTGATCCATGCTCCCTCTTTCACCTCATGCTGCCAGTGAACTAACAGGGCTTGTGCTTTTGTTGGGATTTTCAGACACATCAGTGCTGGGGTTGGCTCTGAGGGCACACTTTCCCCAGCTCATTACTGAGCTTTGGTCTCTGTGTTTTCAGCTCCCTGTGTGCCTGATAAGGGAGAAGGACGAGGGGTGCCTCACAGTCGAGAGCTGTGGTGCCTCCTGGGGTGGCAGCACAGGGGCTGCTCCCACCTCTGCTCCCCCCATATGTAATCCTTGCAGAACTGTCTGTGTGTGGTGCCAGTTTCCCTTTCTGTAGGGACTCGTTTGTGTTGCTTACATCATATGCTGGATTTAGACGACCTCCAGTGTTACCATGGCAACGGTTTCTTCTTAAGTATAGGTGAGAATGTAAGTTAATTTTAAATAAGGTGAAATGAAGGAGGGGATGAATAAAGATCTCAAAAGCATTTGAAGCCACACATATCTGCCTAATCAGTTTTGTAAGAAATCTAAAGCGAATTCTGCATCCCTGAGGTTGCATCCTTCTCATAACAGGGAAACAAAAAAAGTTCTGGGCATATTTCTTCAGACTGTCACCCCTCAAGGTGGTGGCAGACCTGGGAAGCCTCCATCTCTGTCTCCTCTCCATGTTCCCCACGTACACAGTGCCAAATACTCTGCATGTGGTGGGGTCAGAAGATGAATAAGACTTAGAAACAGCACATCTAGCTGGATGCTTTGAAGATTCATGGAGTGTGGGATTAATGCATTTTTGCTGCTGCCTCTGGTTGTTATGAGGAGAGGCCAACATGCTGTCCTTTATTTTGCATCCTGAACTCTGCCCTCTGTGGTATCCTTAAAATCTTAAGCCAATTCTTAAAAATATCTTGTGTGTATAAATCTCTATATGTTTATTTGTATGCATATTTATTGTGTTCATACATTGGAAACTAAAAAAAAAAAAAAAACAAAACAAAACAAAAACCAACAAACAAAGATGCTAAAATAAAATACTTTTTATAGTAAAATTACCTGGGAAAAAAAAAAAAAAGCATCTGTACTTGATAAAGCAGCAGAACGAAGAGCACTGCTCAAGCATTAGCGAATTGCCCCTGTGGAGCTGGGTTTCTCTGTATCTCCACTTATCACTATTGTGTGAGAGTACCTAATCCATTAAAGAAGCATCAAGGTAATGGGAAGAGATCCAGAAACCCCCTTAAACATTCACCTAGTTAGTTAATGCACTGTGATCCACATTTTCTAAGAGTTGCCTTCTTAATGTACACAATTTAGAGCTGAAGAGTGGGCAACTTCAGGAAAAGCAGAGTGTGGTTGCTGCAAACCCGTTTGTGGCAGCAGCCATGCTCTCCAGAGTGGCCTGACACCACCAGTGCAGGTTGACTCTTCTCAGATCTGAGTAGCAACAGGACGCTATTTAAATTATTCTCCTAAACAGTTGCCTGGTAACCAGTTCTTGTAAAACTTTTGGTGGCACTATTAGCACGAGTACTTGTGCTCAAGTGTTTGTCCCTTTCACTTATCTGGAGGTGACAGACCCACAAGCAGAAATAAGAGTGCTACTGCTCCCTGGCTTGTTCATGGCCATGCATTTGCAAAGCAGTAAGACACAAGAGACTGAGGAAAAATTGTACTCATTAATACTCATTAATAAACTGCATAGTCTTTTAACATTTTCCCTTCTTTTTTTCTGATTTTCAGGATTTCTTTTTTCACTACTTATCTCCATTTCATTTGTTTGTTTTTTCACTTTCCTGCTGTTGCTCAGCCCATGAAAAAAACTCTTTTCTGGAGTTTGAAAAAGCAAACTTCCAACACATGAGGTCTACAGTACTATAGAAGAGATGTGTAATGTTATGGATCACTTGTAAAGATGTTTCTAACTTTCTACTTCACATTTCTTCAGTTGTGTTTGGTCAACTGATTTATGCTAGCTTTGTGTAGGTGATCCTATATCCTATATCCTATCTGTGCAGAAGGTTTAATTAATTAGAGTACTGTGTGATGTTAAGCCAGCCACAGTTAAAAATCACGAGATAGGAAATGAGGTGGCTATGGACATAATGGTTCCTAG